GGGGGGGTACACGCCACATCCCGAGGACTCACCCACGTAGTAGGGAGTATAGCAGGGTGTCTGCAGGGCATTCTGGGTGGTCTCCTTGGCAAAGCCAAAGTCAGTGAGCTTCAGCACAGCATTCCTCTCCTTGGACGTGTAGAGCAGGTTTTCAGGCTGGGCCCGGAAGAGAAAACATTGGTCTGGAATTAGGCACCAGGTGGGGACAGAGTCCCAAGGTGACCTTCAGCCAGACCTCCTCCCTCTCTCACCCCAAAGGAGGCAGGAGGAGCCAGGCCCCAGGAGAGGAGTAGAAGGACAGGGTGTTGGGTAAAGTTCCAATGTGGAACCAGTGAAAGCTATTTCTCAGGTTCTAGTGAGATGATCAGACCTTGGACTGAGATCAAAACTGGGAAGCAGGTTTTGTCTACACAAGGGAACCTCCTCTGCGGAAGGTTTTCCTCCCCTTGGGAAAAAGGAAGCCAGGACCAGAACAAAGCAAGGGTTCAGAAGGTGAGTCTGTCGTGGCGGCATGTGGATCCAGAATCCGAGGAGAACTGTAGGGTTGGCAGGACCCAGCCCGAGCAAGGCCCTATTAATGCAGCAGCAGACCTGCAGCTCTCCTAGGCCCAGCGAGGAAACAAGCCTTAGGAGGCTAAGGCTCTTGGCCTGGGCAGAGGGCCCAGGGCTTGCAGATTCTGCTCCGACGGTGGCTGGCACATGCAGTGTATGCAGAGCTACCTCAGTTTGCATTGCGTCAGGCTGATCTCTAAGACCCAGGCCTCCCTGGAGAGGAAACTGGGAGAGCTGAGCCTCCAGCACACCCCTGAAGCCCATCCATGGAAAGAAAGAGCAGGCTCGGCAACTGCACCCACTTCCGCTCCTTCCTCCTTGCGGCCCAGCGAATGGCTTCTTTCCCTTAAAAGGCTGGCATGAGGGTCTAACCTATCGAAACTATGGCGATACTTCAAAGAAGCCCCAATAGTGTCAGGCAGCCCCTGCCTGCGGCCCAGCACATTACGTGTTCACAAAATTCCTTGCTGAATGAACAAATGAATGAACGAACCCCAGTGTGACAACTTTATGATCTTGGGTAAGACACTTAATCTCTCTCTGAGCCTTGGCTTTCTCATCTGTCAAATGGGTAATGTCACCTAACCTCACAGGGTTAAGTGAGGGTTAAACGAGACACTTGCCAGGGCCTCCTGGCTTGAAGTAGGCACTCAGCTAGTCTCAGGGCTGTTGGGACTACAGTGTGAAGGAATCGAGGAGACCCATCTGGCCAGAGCAGAATGAGAATGCTGGGATCAGGAGAGAAGAGACAGAGAAGATCAGTCTAGGCCAGGAGGCAGAGCCCTTGAAGGGACTCAGCCCCCATCTAGTGGGTGCTGGGAGCCATTGGGGGTTGCGGATCACCCTTCCCTCCCTGGCCGCCCATCCCAGGGCCTGGAGCCTCACCTTGACATCTCGGTGGGCGATATTCTGGCTGTGCAGGAACTGGATGGCTGTACCAATGTCACGCATGATCTCTGCGGCTTCTGCAGACATAGAGGAGGGTGAGATGCCAGTCAGAGGTTGGGCAGCCTGGGGCCCCCACCCTGTTATCCCCCTGGGACAGCCAAGATGGTGACAGCACTCCTGCAACCCAGGACCCCCATCTCATACGCCTACCCCAGTCACCCTAATTTCCTCTGGGGATGCCTTAGCCCACCTAGACCTCTTTCCTCAGGCCTGGGCCACCTCTTCCCAGCTCAGTCGCTGGTCGGTACCAGAAGCTTGGAGCCTCCATCCCAATGTCACGGAGAGCCCATCTCCAAGAAGGTGCTACAGACTTACAGAACTCCTTGGGGCAGGGGCACACCCACTCTGTCTCACCCTCTCTTGTTCAGCTGGGGAGACTGAGGCACAGAGAGGAGCAGGGCCATGCCCAGCATCACACAGTAACTCTGTGTGATCCATCTCAGCCCAAATCCCCCCACTGACCCAGCTGCACGCATGTACCTCTCTCAGTGAAAGCCTGGTCGCCACGCTCCTGAATCCTGCTGAACAACTCACCACCTTCCATGCTATAAGAGAATGTGACTGTGAGCAGGGACAAGGAGAGCTAGGCGTCATCCTGCCCTGCCCGAATCGTGGCCCAGGCCCTGCTGCTCTTGCCCAGGGAACAGTCACTGGCAGCTCCCCTGTGCCTTGAACAGCCTGGAGCGTGGTGGGCTGTCAGCTCAGGTGGGTTGAATTGAACTTAGAAATAGGGGAGGGTGGTGAGCTCAGATCCTCCCCAGGGAGTCCTGTATTTCCAGTGGCACTACCCTCACCTGGCTGAGGCTTGGGCAAACCCACCCCCACACAAGTCTCAGTTTCCCCAAATGAGGGATGTCGATTGTCATCAGGACCACTGTTTTCTAAGCACCTACTGTGTGCTGTGCCCTGGGCAAAGAGCTTCGTGTACACCGTTGTGTGACCCTGGGCTGGTCCCTTCACTTCTGTGCCTCAGCTTTCTCTTTTGTAAAATGGGGGTTATAGCACCAGCCTCACAGAGCTGTAAGGACTGAATCAGCAATACACAGGGAGCGCTTGGAATGGAGTAAAGTACAGCGTGAACGCTACATTGAGATCTTCCTCCACATTTTACATGGGAGCTACAGAGGTTAACAGCTGCCCAAGGTCACACGGCTAATGAGGGACAGAGCCAGGGTGTGAACCCCAAACCTGACTCAAGAGCTGCTAACCTGTAGGGTAAGGGGGGCCCAAAAGGCAGACGGGGAGGAGCTGGAGGCCCAGACACGGGCCCAAGATCTGAGGGAGGCTAGGCTGAGCCACAGTGCTCGTGGGAGAAGCCTGGGCAGAGGAGGCCATGGGCTCCTGGTTCTGGGTTCGGATCACCCAGCCTCTAATGGGACCATGAGAGCGCAAACCCCGGTAGGAAGGGGAGAGCTGAGGGACTGTGCACGTCCCGGCTTTCCCACCCCCACCCCCAGCACCTTTGGGCTTGGCAGCCGCCTCTGACAGCTCTCCCAGCCCCTCCCCAGGGTGGAGCCAAGCTGTTTCCTCCCACCCTCAGGGGCTGGGGTCCCCCCGGGGCTGCTCTCTAAGGAAGAGCCCCTGGGAGGACGCAGGGCCTGGGGACCGGGGGACCAGCGGGGCGAGGCGGGCCGCGTACCACTCCATGATGAGGAGGAGGCAGCGCCTGCCGTGGTGCATGTTCTCGTACACGTCCAGGATGCGCACGATGTGGGGGCCACCTGAGGCCTGCCAGTGGTGCTCCACCTCCTGCCGGGCCTTGGGGCTGTCGTACAGGAGCTGGGGGTGGGTCAGCACAGACAGGGTCAGCTCACAGCACCCCCCCCCCGGCAGTGCCACTGCCCTCACTGCGGAGGAGGACACCAAAGCTCAGAGAAGCCCATGACCTGCCCAGGGTCACCCAGCTTATGAAGAATAAAGTGAGGATTTGAATCCAGGTTTCCCTGATTTTGATCCAGGGAGCCTCTAGACTCAGGCAGCCTGGCCAGCGACTCGGGAAGCCCTGGGAGGGGGCTGACAGCTTGGAAAGGCTCCGAGGCCAGAGACGCCCCCACCTTCCTTCTCCGGACGAGAGAAGTGGAAATCGAACGGGTTTTGAAGTCCAATCGCACATCAGCTGTGGGACCCCAGGCCAGGGGCCACACACCCCTTGAGTCTCATTTGTACAATGGGATGGCACGAGGGTTGTGGACCCAGAAATAGAGTCTGGGAGCAGAGAGGACCCTAGTTGAGGGAGGTGACCGCCTGGTGGGGTGAAGTCCCGGTTTGGGGCTAAATTTCTCCAATGACTCAGTGTGACCTCAGGCAAACTTTCACAGCTCCCAGCCACAGCCCGAAACTCTGTAAAACAGAGTAATGACAGTCATCTCCACAGGATGCGTCAGGCGAGGCAGGAAGCTGGTGGGCGGCGCCGGGATCCTGCTCAGGTTCACTCAGCCCTGGGCTATGGCTGCCAACCAGGAGGCCAGTCACGGACACGAGCAAGGCCCTGGAGTGGTCCTGCTCAGAGGAGGCCCAGGGCGACAAGAAGTCAGCATGCAGGGGGAGATCCCCAGAACGGGGAGAGGGCTTGCCTTCCTCTCCCTCTTTCTTCCTGCTTCCCCTGGTCCCAAACATGTTTGGTTCTGGCTAGAAGGATGAACTTGCTGGTCCCAAACTGGCTGCCCTCCAGTCCCTGTCTATGCACATGCACTCTTGCCCTCTCCTTCTCCATCGGGTCAACCCCCTCCTCGGGAGGAACCTCCTGGGCTCAGTTCAGAGGTCTCCTCCTCTGGAAAGTCCTCCCAGCACCTGCTCCAATGGTTTTTGCCTCTGTACCTCCCACCAGGCCAGAAGCAGCTGGAGAGCAGAGGCAGGTCATGTAAAGCTGGGGGTCCCTGTCAGGGGCCTGGCAGGAAACACTGAGCTCCTGAACAAAGGGAATGGGGTGGGGGGGGACGGGCTGCAATGGGAGGGAGCTGGAAATATGGGAGGGAGAGGAGGAGAGGCCAGAGAGCTTCAGGGCTCTGCCTTTACCCAGTGCTTCCCCGAGGTGGAGGGAGGTGAAGGGAGATGGAGGGAGGTGGAGGGAAGTGGAGGGAGAT